AATAAATAAAGATGGGGGTATACTTAAGTATCATCCCTGTTATAATATTTTGACTAATTTTTTTGAAAGATTTTTTGCAGTAACGTTAACTGTACAAGGTCTGGTGGGGGCAATCAAGGTAGAGGGTCATGTTAAGAAGTAGTTTATATGGATAGGAGGGGAAGATAACAGTTAACCCTAGACTTGAACAGGTTGAGATTGTAGTGATTGGGGAAACATCTTCTTGGAAGTCAATTTCACAGAGCAGTGGTTTATGGGAAAAAGCTGTTCAGGTAGAACTTACTTCTCACCAATGGAATACAGAGGGAATGGGAGATACTAAAGTTTACTTCGATGTTTATTCAAAAGAACAAATATGACAAAAATGATTTCCTCCCCTTTGAATGACAGAAGGTTTGTGTAAAGTCATGAAATGCATGCTACTCTTTATTTAATCATTTCATCCCAACCAAGGTGATAAAGTCACTAACATGCATGGAATTACTGACAGTGAAAGAAAATGAGAAAATATTAATGATGAGAAAGGACAATAAAAGAACAGAATTTAAAATGACAGAAGATGGTGTAGTGAAAAACAAAAAGGAATCTTTCATTGACCCAAACAAAAATAGAAATAAAAATTAATTATTAATATTCACAAGACCTACACAAGACATTGTTAGGCAGGAAAATTAATCTCTCTCTTTTGCTCCTGGATGTTAAGGTATCAAGGTATGCATGCATTTCAGGCTTGTGACAAAGCAAACAGATAAGTACAAAAATTCATATTGTTTTTGAGATATAGTCTTTTTGAAAGTAGATACACGGTAACTTTATATTAAGAATTTCAAATATAAAATAAATATATATATATGTGTAAGTTTTTTATATGAAGACTTTTGTGTTTTATTTGAACTTTTCATATATTTATGTTGTCATGTTTCATTCACTTTTTAAATGAGGTTGATGTTTCATTACCATGCACAACAATACTGATTGATGTTGCAATTAAAATTTTTGAAGATCATAGTTGACAGGAAATCAATAAACCAGAAGGAAAATATTTATAGAAAAAAGAAGGAAGCCATGTCATAGTGGTGGGAAAGTGAATGAAGTTGAGATGCCAGGTCAGGGCCAATAACATTACAGACCCTTCTTTGGATTTTATATAAAGTCTCACTCGAGTCCGTCCTTCAAATCTATAAATCAGCAATTTGCCCGTGTATAGAATACTGCTGCCACATATGGTCTGGTGTCCCCACTGTTCGCCTTAAGGTCTTTGACAAGATCCAGAGAGGGATATGTAACGTGGTTGATCCTGATCTGGCATCTCATCTACAGTATCCTCCCTCTGTCTTTTCTACAAATACTTTCACAGTAACTGTTCTGATGAGCTACTTTTGCTAGTTCCCAGACTGCATGAATTTAAGCATGCTACTAAGCTGGCATCACGGTTGCACCCTTTCACTGTCAAAACAGTTAAATGTGGCTGTCTCTTCTACTCCAATAGCTTCATGTCTCACACCTTCCATCTGTGGAATTCCCTTCATATTACTTGTTTCCCTGATAGCTATAATCTCCAACTATTCAAATGTAATGTCAATCGACATCTCCAAATGCCCTGACCTATTCCCTGTCCTTCTCTTCATCCTTTCTTCTATCATGCCTCTTTACTCTTGCTCCCACTCTGTAACCCCTTGCGTATTATTGGCATCCCGCCTTGCTTGGGGTGAAATACTTAAAAAAAAAGATATATAGCAGGAGCCACAGACCAGATATGGCAACGATATCCAATACAGAGACGAATGGTAGATTCATAAATGTGCAAGATCAAAAAACTCTTCTCACAGGAAGGAACAAAAACAGCAAATGTGATGAAAATCTGTAGCATTTTTATTTTTGGAAAGTGAGTTCCCAAATTTATAATTTTGAATAAACTGTGAAAGTTCAAGGGTTCCTTCTTTTCATGTTCATATTCCATCGTTAATAGCAGTTGTTGTAGCTGGGGACTAAGGAAATGGAAACACAGTTTCTGCTATTGTTCAGACACGGAAGTATCATGTTGGCCATATTGTCTATGTGTGAATAAAAAGCAGAAGTATTACTTTTGCAGACAGAAGTCACCAGACTAAACTGTGTTGTCACTGTTATTACAGACCCCCTTGCCAAGTAGTGACAGCAGCAACAGTTTTTTTTTCTCTCAACAAGGAACTCCTCTTTATGAACTTCATCAGGATCAACTGTGCATAGTGTCCTGACATTAAAACCACTTTTATTTCAATACAGCCTTTACAGGCTTATACAGCAAAGCCAAAAGTGCCACTCCCATAAAAGTATCTCCTGGGGTGGATTGCTTCACTCTAGCTATGCTACAGGTGTAGAGTGGTTTATGAAATAATATATTAGGAATGAGACTTAAGTTTGTCACTTTTGCTGCTTTTGGTAACCAATTTGGAGTGGTAGGACTTATTACTGGTGAGAAATATTAATGGTAATATTAGCCGTTTCCCTATAAGGAAACATTTGGCATTCATTGACTTGAGCAGCCAGTGGTTGTATATAGCCAGCAGCAAGACATTCAAAAGAAATGAATTTCAACACAAAAATGAACAAACGTGAAAATTACAAGGGAAGAAAGAACATTTTGTATACTTAGCTGTAATGTGTATGTATATGCATATATGAGTGAGGCCCACATGGTTTGTTTTAAATTATTTTACTTTTGTTTATAAATACTTGTTGCAAAATAATATCCTTATATTTGCCTTGATGAAGTCCATTAGAGGATGAAACATGTCAGCTATGAGAAGTTATTCTTTATTCATGTTGTCTGTTTACAGATATATTTTTTTAGTTACATCTGAAATTTTACACACACACACGAGTGTATATATATATATATATATATATATATATATATATATATATATATATATATATATATATGTGTGTGTGTGTGTGTGTGTGTGTGTGTGTGTGTGTGTATTTTTTAATCATTTCAACCCCAAGCATAGAAAAGATGCACTAATTTGCAAGGGGCTACTGGGTGTAAAAGAGAATGAGAAGAAAGGACAATAAAAGAAAACTATTCATAGAGATGGAAGATGCTGACTGATATTGCACTTAAACTTTTGAAGATTATAGGTGGCAGGGAAGCAAGAAATGAGAAGAGAGTTCAAAGGCTAGAAGTGTGAGAAAAGAAACTATTAAAATGTTATGATTCATGATGATGATGATATTTCATCATTTGAGAAATAAAGATCTGAAACTTTATCATTATAAAAACAATTACTATCTAAGCCTACTAAGGAGGTCCTCATTGTCTAGCATATATGCTGATTCTTTCAGACATCTATCTAGTGCTCTTCCTTGTCCAGTATTTTTACTAAATTCTACAGAGACTGATAACTATCCTTTTCCCTCCATACATGATCTGTCATGCCTGATTTCATTGTCTCACCCCTCACTATGAATTTTTGATGGTTCTATAGCCTTACTTTTAGAGGACATCTAGTTTCTCCTGCATATTCTTTGCAATAACTCCAAAGAATGGAATACACAGAGTTCTTGGTGATGTTCTCCGCCATGTTAGGCTTTACTCAGCAGAGATTTCCCCATAGAATGAAACTGCTTCTGAGTATTGTCCTGATGCTGATAAGCTCTTGCCATAAAGCAGACAAACCGTTTCCTGTTTTTTTCTCTGACTATTTTGTTTCTACCTGCAGATGCTGATGTTGTGTTTGCAGGGTAGTTGTTATTCTGAAGGGTATACATCTAATTTGATGGGGAGTCAATATATATATATATATATATATATATATATATATATATATATATATGCCAGGAATTGAATATTGCAGCCATATCTAGTCTGATGCTAAGACTACATATCTCAAGATTCTAGGCAAAATAGTAATAAATATGATATGGAAGCCACCAATAAAAACAGAAAAACAAATGACAGCAAGTCTTCAATAGCAGCAGTAGCTGTAACAAAAGAGAAAAACTTCAGTGAGTGTAGGCGAGCATGACAAACAGTAGTACTCCTAAGCAGGCAGGTTAGGTTTAAGGCTCCAAGTTCTCCACAGAAAATTGTCCTCCAGGGCAGTAGCCTAGTGGATTAAATCACTGGTTTGTGAATTTTGTGAGATAGTAATTGTGAGTCCAATCCCTGGCAGTGCGTATTTTGATTCAGTGCAAGTAAGCAATAATTGACCAGTACTAAAAAATAAGAACTAGACTAGATATCCTTAGACATGGACAATGGAACAAGAACAGCATACATCCATAGATTAAATAAAGGGTTCAGTTCAGAATACCCTGTGGGTTACCCAAATTGACATATACCTGATGAAGGCTGAAGGGCATAACAGCTGAAACATTGTGATAATGAAGACAAAGATGAGGATAATTGTCTGCTTGTAAATAATGTAAGTAGCCATTAGTAATCTGGCAAAGTTACTTATCCAGTACTCTACAGGTCCCAATGATATTGAATTAGTGATAATCAACCTGTAATGGTGTTTTAGGTTATAAATCAACACTGAGACAAGTTAGTATTTTTTAATGCTTTTTAATATATTTGTTAGCAGCAGAAAATTTTATGGTGTGAGCAAATTTTTTATTACAAAAGTTTGTTACAGTGAAAAAAAATGTTTAGAATCACAGTTCTAAAAAACAGTTTTATTTTTAATCTCCAACAGTGATTTGTTGTTGTATTACTAATGATATGGTTTAACACAATTTTCTACGGTTTAAAACAGTGTTCTGGTTTAATAGATGATTACAAAATATGCACACCTACCATCACAACATTGTTTGCTGTAAGGAAAATTAACTTGCGATATATAAAATTTAACTTCAGGCAATTATTCTGTCATGAAACTGAAAATGTAATTCTTTTCATGTTTATAACATTTTCTTGTATTTTTCTTCTTTTGCTTATCTATCCTTTACCATCATCGTCTACCATTTGCCATTATCCACAGGGATGCTTGCAGGCTGTACCAATGCTGGTCTTCTCAGATTTTCTCAATTTTCAGAGTAATTCCATTTTGGGGAGTCAGAAGTGGAGAATTATTAAACACAATTTCATCCTGTAATAACAAATTAAAACAATTATGATTATTATCAGATTAAAACAGTTATGATTATTATTATAATTTAGTTTTCTGCTTCCCCTCTTTGTGTGTATGTGTTTCTAAGCCTTTATAAATTTAAGCAACAACAACAATAATAATAACACAATAGTGTCTTAGGCAGAAAGTATAATTGATTTAAGCTCTAAAGGGCCAAGGATTGAACAGATACTACATTATGATCCAATGTACAGGGTGGTCCGAAAGTTTTGTCACCATCACATAATATTTTCTATTTCAAATGGCTGACATGAGCTCCTACAGTTTGGAAGAAAGATGGTGGGTGACAAAACTTTTGGACCACCCTGTAGAAAATTGTAAATTGTGAATACAAACAAGCAGAAGAATAGTATCAATAATATATATTTTTTGCAATGATGTTCACCCTGTACAAGGCCCAAGAGCCACTCAAGGCTTCAACAGCCTCCAGAATCTTTCTTTGCAGTGTGTCCAATATAAAATTTTACCACAAAGGCTGATGGCTGCTTAGTGACATCACCGCATTATGACAAAAGTGGCAGTCTTTCAGTTGGCTTCCAAGAGTCAAACTGAACAGTTTCTTTTTTGCTGCATGCCCCTTGATCCTGAGGCTAAATCTGCCTCCCCCATTGAAATGTACTTTAACCAGATACAGAAAAATATCTCCAGCTCACATATTGGGAAAAAAACAGGACTTGCCGCTTCCTATTTGCAGAATGTGTTCTCACTAGTGACATTGTAAATAAATCTAGAATTCAGAATCCAAAATATGGCTTCTCCAGAAACACAGAAGCATCTCTTGCAGACCCAATTCCCATTGGGAATTATTATATGTAATACTCTCTTTTTTCTCTCCTTTCATTCTTGTATGAAGATAATTTTCTCTCTGTTTTCTAATATTCAAATTGTGTTCATCTTGTTTGGTTTTTACACATCTGACCATTGAAAGTGTTTCCCTGACCAAGTAAAAACTGGTGTTATATAGCTCTCCCAGTCCCAGACCCATGTTGATTATTCACTAATACCTGACTGGTATAGTTCATATACAAATAGTCAACGCCACCTATTCTGAGTAGAATGTCTTCTCTCAACAGCCAATTGTGGATGAGGACGTAACTCCTGGTGTATACAGTACCACATACAAACAACTCGGAGTCTTTTTTCAGGCTGACCCAATCCTCTCTTACACAAGTTTAAGTGTGAAGATAATTTTACCTGTTTTCTAATTATATTATTATATATATTATTATATATATTATATAATTTTAAGTGCAACAATAATTTTACCTCTGTTTTCTAGTATACAAGTTTAAGTGTGAAGATAATTTTACCTCTGTTTTCTCACAAGGTACAAATTTAAATTTGCGCAAGATTTGTACCATAGCCATTTTCAGTTCCATCTGTGCCAATCTCATTCCGATGCAAATGCGAGGCCCGCCTCCAAAGGGAAGGTAAGTGAAAGGTGTGTGTTTCTCCTGAGCCTCAGGACTGAATCTGTTGAAAAGGAAAAAGAGAGATTTGAAATTCATGACGATAAAATAGACGTGTGTGTAGTGCAATGGGTAGGGACTCCAAAAGAGAAAGCAGCATGCTGAGTTTTTTGATTTGCTTTCACACAAATATTTTTGGGAAAGGTACGAATTCATCTCTTTTTTCCCCAGCTATGAGTTAAATAGGAGGACTGACTGGGCTTTGTTGTATTGGTGGGAGGGGAGGGAGGGAGGGGCAACCAGTTTAGGGGAAGTAAAACCCTGAATTCAAAACCAAACTGAAGAGAGATAGGCTCAGTTAGCCTGTCATGTCCTGGACACACCACTGTTGCTATGGCTGAAACTATATGATGCCTCTAGGACCCTAATATATATTACTTATGATATAAAACTTATTTTCTCATCTATTACATTCTATTACCTCTGTTTTCTAAAATACAATTTTAAGTGTGAAGATAATTTTACCTCTGTTTTCACACAAGCTACAAATTTAAATTTGAGCAAGATGTGTACCATAGCCATTTTCAGTTCCATCTGTACCAATCTCATTCCAATGCAGTACATGTGGTGCCCCTAAGACCCTAATGTGTATTATGATATAAAATTTGTTTTCTTGTCTATTACATCAGCCTGAAGAGGGATGGACTTCGTCAGGCTATCTTGCCTTAGACACTCTACTGTTGCTATGGCCACAATACATGTGGTGCCCCTAAAACCCTAATGCATATTGTGATATAAATTTTATTTTCTTATCTATTACATTCTATTACATCAACCTAAAGAGGGATGGATTCCGCCAGGTTATCTTGCCTTAGACACACCCACTGCTGCTATGGCTGCAGTACATATTGATGCCTCTAAGACCCTAATGCATAGTGTGATATAAAATTTATTTTCTTGTCCATTATATAAGCCTGAAGAGGGATGAACTTTGTCAGGCTATCTTGCCTTAGACACACTACTGTTTCTATGGCTACAGTACATGTTGTGTCTCAGCAATCCTTATAGGACTTATGATGTGATGATGAAATTATCCCACAAAGAATCACACACACACACACACACACACACACACACACACAGAGTAAATGAGTCCTGTAACCCATTAGGTTGATTGGAGCCCTACACATACAGCTACCAATGTGTCTAGGGCAGGAGTGGGCAAACTTTTCATGGCAAAGGGCCACATTCAAAAATTCACAATTTTACTGGGCCGCATAGTATATTAACCCAAAATAATTAATATTTAAAATAGACAAAAAAAGGTTTTTAAAGAAAAAAATTTTTTATTAATTAATATTTTAAAGTACTGTAGAAGGTTCACAGGAAGTGCATTTATTTAAAAGACAAAGTAACTCAGTTTAAGTTATTTTAAAGAAAAAAAAATAGTAATATGTATTTTTAAGTTGAAGATTTACATGAAACATTTGAAAGACAAAATAACCTTGTTTTAAAAAAATTATTTATATTATTAATTAATATTATAAAGCAGAAAACATATTTATTTGGAAAACAAATTAACTCTACATAAAGAAATAAAAAACAATTCTTACTAATATTTTAAAGTAGAAACTTCAAATAAAACATATACAAAGTAACAAAATTTAAAGAAAAAAATTAATTTAGATTTTATAGAAACTTCAACTGAAACAGATTTGTTTAAAAACAATGTAATAGAGTTTAAAGAAAAAAATTTTTATTGATATTTTGAAGTAGTAACTTCACATGAAACAGGTTTATTTAGAAAACAAAGTAACTCAGCAACAGAAGGATCTTAATGACTCAATAAGAATAATGTATCTGACTGCAGTTATTTACAAGTTTGTTTAAATTAGGCGTCAATTATTTAGCATTGCTTGTTAACTTTTTCTTTCTAATTTACTAACATTTGGTGAGCAGCATGAATTCTTTTGGTAGGCTGCATGCGGTCTGTTGGCCGTAGTTTGCCTACTCCCTGGTCTAGGGCAAGATGACCTGATGGAATCCATCCCTTGAGGCTGATTTTGAATTCTCTTTCTTCTAGGTTGTTTACCCTACTAAGGCTGAAGAGCTGTGTCTCTCTATTATTTACAGATGTTTTAATTTAGTGTTGCACTTCTCCTAGGCTGGCTGACATTCAAGAGCTCAGTCTACTCTGCTATTTAACTCATAGTTGGAGGAGAATGGATTTATGCTTTTCTAAGGGTATTACTGCAAAATGAATGAAAAAAACCTGACCAGAATTTGAATTGTGCATGCCAATTCCATTGTCTGTGCTAATAAGCTTAGTTTCTCTGCACATCAATAACATGATGCAACCAAAGAGGGTCATGGCTAAGGTGGTCAAAGGTCAAACCTTTCATACATGGTAATATTCAAGAAAGATCCAGGACACATATTAAATCATACCACTAAGTGGATACATGTCATGAATACTGTAGCCAACTTTGTACACACCATCTGCTGATGTGGATTTCTTCAGGTAACATATAGAAAGTGATGCGCAAACATTGACCATAATACTTCTCTCGAGCCTTTTCTGTGTGGTTAGAAATGTTTGAACATACATACATACATACACACCAAGACCTTTTACTGGATGTTCAAGGACTTTCATCTTTGAATACTTACGAATCCTAATTTAATCACTTTTCTTTCTTTTCTGTAAATACATTAAGCTATATAAACAATTATTTTGTTCATATTAACTTTTTTATTAAATACAATCTTTTAGATATGTGGTTAGATCAGTCACACAAATTCATTCAATAGCAGCTTACTTCTGACTGCATGACTAGGTGGGAGAGTATCTGTTCAAGTGTGTAAATAAGGTCACAGCTGATTGGTTGCCAAATTATAACAAAGTCACATAACCAGTTCTTGAGATTGTAGTGATCCCTAAATAAGAAGCAGGAATAGTGTCCCCTGCCTTGTTAGGTTATAGTAGAGGAAGAGGAAGTAGACTTCTCATAATGCCCTAGAAAGACAGTTTTGGTGTGAAAATATAAAAAAAATCAATCTCTCTCTCTCTCTCTCTTTCTCTGACTGCCAACTGTTAAACCAGAAAGATGTATTTTCTTAAATGAGCTCACAAAGACATCTCTTCACACAGATAAGCCTAAAACCATTTCCTTCATTGCATTAATACATACAAATTTATATATATATATATATATATATATATATATATATATATATATATATATATACATGTTCTGCAAATAATATGAATCAATTATAAAGGGTGTTCAACCGATTTTAAATGTGAATTAAGTTTAAGCGTCTAATGATTTTTTCTTTTTCTTTCAGATTTAACAACTTAAGTTTTTGGCAATTTCAACTATGGAAAGATTAACAATCAAACAATGCTTTAAAGTTACCGAAGCCTATTACGAAAATGGATATTCAAATTTATGAATATACAGCCCAATGATTCCACTAGCAAAAAATGCATACCAAACAGTGACATTTTGTGGATGCAGTGGCTTTTCAACAATCTTCCTTGGATTTTTATCAGCCCAAATCCGACAATTCTGTTTATTAATGAATCCACCAAGATGAAAATGGGTTTCATCACTAAAGATGATTTTTTGCGAAAAATCTTCATTGACTTGTCTTTGCTTGTGCACCCAACTGACAAATGTACAGCACTCTGAATGGTCAGCAGGCTTCAGTTCTTGTCTCAATTGAATTTTGTAAGTGGGTAGAGACATCTTTTGTCAATAATTCGATGTAACGTTGTTGTGGAGAGGTTCAATTCCTGCAGGCGATGACGAATAGAAGTGTCTGGATTTTTGGTCACATTCTTGTGCACTGCAGCAATGTTTTCAGCTGAATGGCGTAAACGAGCATGCAATGGTATTTTCACATCTGCCATCAATGCAGTTTGTTTGAATTTACGAACAATTTTTCAAATTGCACTCTTGAAACTTTTAACACGTTATTTAATTGTTAATCTATCCATGGTGAAATTGCCAAAGACTTAAGTTGTTAAATCTGAAAGAAAAAGAAAAAAAAATCATTAGACACTTAAACTTAATTCACATTTAAAATCAGTCCAGGTTGGAAGACTCTTTATAAGCACTTTTATATTTAATGAAAAAAATCAATCATTTAATAAATATGTTATGTCATGCACACCAAAACTGTTCATATTTTATTTCATGTTTTCATGTAATATTTCACATGAATATTAATTTACCACATGTTGTGGATGGATGATATAAGCACAGATAAAAATAACAAAACAAAGTACAAAGCCTCCATATCATTCACATGTCCACAAGAAGATATTCAAATTGCCTAAATATGTTCTGAACTGATGTCTCATAGTGTAGACTCATAAAGCAAGAAAGGATTTCAAAAGTAATAAGTTACCTCTCTGGGTCAAATTTTTGAGGATCAGGCCAATATTTCGGATTGTGGTGAAGGCCATATATAGGGATGATGACCTCTGTATCCTTTGGAATTTGCCAATTTTTTATTGTGATGTCTCTACTGGTGTGTCTGATCACTCTATAAGAAACAAAAAGAAATTTCTAGAATATTACCAAATATGATATGATTAAGGGTGCAATGACTGAAACATTGTGACTAAGACAACCATGATGAGGACAATGGTTCAAATAAATCAGTGTATAATAATAATAATTCCTCATCTCAGAAATAGCAGAATTATTGTAACTAAAACAATTAAGATGAGGACAATGGTTCAAATAAATCAGTGTATAATAATGATAATTCCTCATCTCAGAAATAGCAGAATTATTGTGACTAAAACAATTAAGATGAGGACAATGGTTCAAATAAATCAGTGTATAATAATAATAATTCCTCATCTCAGAAATAGCAGAATTATTGTGACTAAAACAACTAAGATAAGGACAATGGTTCAAATAAATCAGTGTATAATAATGATAATTTCTCATCTCAGAAATTGAGTTAGAAATTATCACAATATCCTCTTTCTATGTGTAGCACATTGTAAATTCATGTGACATTACTTTTTTAAGAATTTCTGTCATTGTGATCTTTTTAGGTTGATACACACCCTCTGCTGAAAGACAGGTGTTTTTATGGAGACACCATCCTTAGATAGATTAAAATCCAAAGAGTCTTTGTTAATTAATTGACTTTCTGCTAGCGCAAACAATGACAACTTCCGTACAGTTCTGTCTACTCAATTTCTATCGCAAGAATTATGCCAGCCCATATTATGGTTTTCAGTCAAATCTTGCTGCATTCTCATTGCAACCCTGGAAGTCATTTGCTTAATTCTTTGACCATGTCGAGTTTCAAACCTGGGTCTTATGTTTGGAATGATAATGCTTTAACCACACGGTCATCCAAGAAAGAAAACCAAATATACATTATACAGATATAATCACATGTAGTCATTATAAAAATGAATTATGTTTAATAAGCTTATAGATTAAATATGGTTTTTCAGAGCACTGTGTTTGTAAATTGTATTGTTATCCATCTATATATTAATACACTTGTACCTACCTATGTAGGCCGCCCTGGGTATGACGATAAACTTCATCTGCGTCCAGGGTAAGATGATAAACTACATCCAACAGCAAGGCCTCTGATCAGGAAGCTTAGAGGAGCATGGAACAACCTCTTAATTGCTGGTGCTCCCAGGTCCACCCTGACCCGGGGTGGTAGCACCTGTTAGGGTCCCAGCTATGGGCAAATAGTTAACCCCGAAACTGAGGTAAAAAGCATTATGAAAGTGTAAAAATAGGTTTTAATACCAGAAATGTTTTGTAAAAATTATTACCAAAAATAAATTTTTGAAGAAAAAAAAAGTATTACCAGTAATATATTTCTGTAAAAAAAAAAAACTATCACCAGCAATATATTTTTGTAAAAAAAAAAAATTACCAGTAATACATGTTTTAAAATAATATTAACAGCTATACATTTTTGAGGAAAAAATAATACCAGAAATAGATTTTTTACAAAACAAAATATTACCAGAAAAAAAAAAGGTTGTCGGCATTAAATAACCCATTGAGGTTGATATGCCGTAAAACACAACAAACCAAACCAAACCTATGTATGATGCATGTCACAGATAAATGTAAGAACTTAAGAAAATATCATTTTGACAGCATGGAAAAACAAGTACATATATAAGATTCTACTGGATATAAAGTGGGGGATCAGTTTCCTATAGTTATTAAGTAACAGACTGATCCCTCATTAATTACCACATATTAATAATTGCAAACAAATATATTTAAAGACTCAAATATGAAAACCTTATAAGAGAAACAATTTAACAAAATATCATTTTTAACAGCATGGATAAACTGGTATTAAGATTCTACTAGTCATAAAGTAGAGGATCAGTTTTCTGTTGTTATTAAGTAATAAACTGATCCCTCAATTAATTACCACATATTAATAATTGCAAACAAATATATTTAAAGATTTACATATGAAAAACTTATAAGAATAAGAACTTAACAAAGTATCATTTTTGACAGTATTGAAAGACAAATATGAATAAAAGATTCTGTTGGACATAAAATGGGGGATCAGTTTTCTATTATTATCAAGTAATAAACTTATCCACCACAGAGTTAATACACTGTGTTAGACTTTATTCTGCAAGTCAATGTTTTCACAATAAAACTAGCATTAACCCATCAATATTGCCAAAATTTTCAGGGTATACTCATATTTGAAAAAACACTAAAAGAATCATTATTTGTTTTTATCAGAAATATTTACAGTAAGCTATTTCATAGTGTGAGATTTTATTATGCAACTCAAGCTTTGTTTTTCATATTATAAATAAATAAATATATATATATGTAAATATCCTTTGTATATATATATGTAAATATCCCATATATATATATATATATATATATATATATATATATATATAAATAAAAAGAAAGAACAGTAAGATATATAATCCAGTGTTCTTATTGATATTTTTTTTTTTATTTTTACAAAAACAGTGCTCAATGAAAAATTTACAGAGCATAAATATTATAAGTTAACTGATTGAAAATATGGGTTTTTTGCTACACAGTAATAACCATGTTTCAAAAATGGAGGCTAAAAACTTTAAATTTAATTATATAATTAAATTAAAAGCAAGCATTAATTCCGTTTCATCTTCAAGCGAATATTGGATTAACTTATTTTTAAATTTTCTGAGTTTTAAGCACATATAAATTCATAATTTACTGTTTCCAAGGATACAGAGAAGTCCAATCATTCAAACAGGGGCTGTCGCATGTTCATTTTTATTAATTATTGTTGTATCAATTATGAGTTACATTCGAAAAAGAGATTAAGTTTAAGGAGGGTAGGGGTGTGTTTTTCAACAAATTCTGGCATCTGTTAAATGTATGTCGTCAGCGATTTTTTTATTAACGGCAAAAAGTTTTTTGACATTTTTTCTTACTTGTATACCTAAAGATTCTTTTTTTTACATTTTATTTAACTACCATTTTAAAATATTTTTACTCTTAATTATTAATAGACTATATTTCTTTTTAAAAACAAGTAAATGTAATAGAATTACATTATTTAAAAATTTTTTTTTTCAAATATAAGTATGTATATTATCAGCTCCCATTTTTAAATTTTATTTTTAAATATTATTTAAGGAAAATTTTTGTCAAAAATTTTCCTTAAATAATAGTTTAAATAATATTTAAAAATAAATTGTTAATTGAACCTGTGTGTACCTTTTTATTAATTCATTGTGATTTTTGTCATGTAAGGTTTAAATTTGGCATTAAATAAGCCAATAAAAGTTGCTATGTTATTAAATTAACCAACCTAACCTAAATTTTACCTTGAGTGTAAATTGAACCTGTGTGTATGTTTTTATTAATTTATTGTGATTTTTGTCCTTTAAGACTTAAATTTGGCATTAAATAACTCAGCAAGTTTTGATATATCATTATATTAACCAACATGAAACTAAATCTGAAATAAAAGATCTACGCAATCATCAAACCTCATGGAGAGCTCATAATTGACAGGAAGTGGAAGCTGAAGTGGTACGAGCATATCACCAGATCAGACAGACAGGCAAATACAATTGTGCAGGGTACAATATCTCATGGCAGGAAGAAAGATAGACAAGAGAAAAGAGGAAGATAACATCAGAGTGTAGACAGTGATAGATGCTGCAGGGAGGTAGTTTATTGTCTTTTGCCCCATTGACTATATTAGGTTGTGGGAAACATTAATAAAGGTAACAATTTATTTCATTCAATGTGAATAATCACATAGGTTTACAGCAGAAAAATTAATGTTTGATATTAATTATAAATATTATAGCGTCCACACAAAGCACTTGACTGTGTCAAAACTTACAACTTAATCTTGGCTCATTCTAGGATAAAAAAAAAGTATATATACGCCACCAGCTGGAAATCTGGGAACTTCTAAAATCTGAGATGTTTATTAGTTTGAAAGATTTCATGTAAAAAGATTGTCTGCCTGAAAACTAATTGATATCAATATGAAAAATAGATAAATCTTGCCTGGTTGCTATCGGATATTTCCTTAATGTTTCTGACATACACTGGTCAAGGTAAGGCAGTTTTTGGATATTATCATAATCAGGAAGTTCCTAAAAAACGACAAAAAAGGATTCATTATTTTTTTTTACTTAGAACTCAATCAGTAATAGTTATTCACAATGTACCATTATGAACTTATAGCAAAGTTGCCTAAAACAGATTTGTAATTGTTTGACCTTGTTCAAATAAATTGGCTCATAGTGTTGGTGTCGCAGAAAATGCAGTAATTGTTGATAAAACAAATTAAAAATAAATAAGTAAAGGAAAAATGTTAGTATACAAAAAAGGGAAGAATGTATATAAAGAGACAAGAGGAAAAAACTATTCTTAGTTGATGCATTTCATCCACTGAGGGAATTTATCAAGGTAATGTCCCTCAGAGGACAAAACATATTGAGTAAGAATAGTTTTTCCTCTTATCTCTTTTGATTCAGTTTGTTTCTTTATAGCTACACTCTATCTGAAAATAATTTACATTGTTCAATCCTCTCTTCAGGAGGTTTTAGCAGCTGACAAAAGAATGCATCTCATATATACATCAAAAAACTCTTTTTTGTAAATCTTTCTCCTTTGATATATATATATATATATATATATTGATAATATTAGTGGTCAATATATATATATATATATATATATATATATATATTTTATATGCATAAATTCCCAAGAGGATAGAATCCAGGTAGAACTCAATGTCCAGGACAGAGTAAGAATATAATATAAAAGGCTCAAACACTAATATTCCATGGTTATAATTTATTACATTGGAATCATAATCTTTATCAATTCATCAGACCTACCAATTCAAAAGAAATCGGAAAATATAACTCCAGGTATAAAAAAACAAAATTTTACCCAGAATTATATGTTCCAATTTCTTTTGGAATTGGTAGGTCTGATGAATTGGATTGTGATTACAATTCCAATGTAATAAATTATAACCATGGAATATTAGTGTTTAAGTCTTTTATATTATATATATATATATATATATATATATATAGACAACTCCAAAGATTTGTTAAAAATGAGCATACATGATAATAAAAATGACCCAAACAGTATAAACAAAGTTTTATCATCAGAATCTTTATGTTATTATTAAGAGGAAAGATGAAAGAATTTTTTGATTATTAAATTATAATTTTTAATCCTTTTTAGAATGTTTGAAATTTTAGTAAAAACTTCCTTTTTATACTACAACTGGTGACCATAAATTAGTATAGGAAATTTTAGTGACTTTTTGCAGTAAAAATACATTGGTTTGGAAATTTTTGCAAAAATTAAATAATTGTCAGATTTTAATAAAACTTCTAGGACTTATTCACAAATAAAATAAATTATTTTAGAAATGTTTCTATTTTAGAAATTCTTGGTAAAAATATTTTTATACATTTATGACCCCCCCCCACTTATTTAATTTTATGAAATTTTGAGAAATTTATTTTTGTACCCTTTAGTGTTTATATTAGTTATACACAGAATTTAAATCATTGATTTTTTTTGTAAAACAGGACCCCCAATCAGAAAAAATCTGCTCTGAAATATAAAATAAAAAATGCAATAAAAATAAGATATTATTTAATTAGAAAAGCTTTTAATTGCTTTTGTGTATAAGAGATATTAAAGACACTATTATCTGTTTTTCAATGAATAATGAATTTTTGCAAGAATTGTTTTCATTTTTAAAAATTTTAATTAGACTCATGTATAAAGTTTAAAATCTTTTGAAATTCAGTGTTAATTTCTACTGGTTAGGTGATGTTGTTATTAAATAAAAACTATATTTACTAATAATAAATGGAAAAGCTTACTACAATTCAGTGAGCCCCAGTATTTTAAAATGAATTTTGAATTTTTTTTGTGTGTGTATAAATGTAAATACGTACATCCATGCATGACATTATCAGAAAATAAGAGTGATAACTATAGTAAATTTAAAGCCAACATTTCTAAAATTCAATAAAGCATTAGATTACAGAGAATAGTTTTCTAAATTTTAAGATTACTGGGTAGATAAAAATTATATAAAAAAGGTGCTCACATTATATTCGTCAAATAATTTTTACAGATATGTCCCCTGTATAAAAAAAAATAAAAACATAAGTCTATCAAGATAGTAGTCAACATATAAATACACCCACTTCCATGTTAAAAAATGCTTTTCTGCAATATTTTAAACAAAAAATATGTATTAGCAGAAATGGGCATCAAAAGTGACCCTCACCCTCCCTACAGTCTAGACATTGCCCCCTATGATTGTTCTCCAAGCTAAAGGAGAACTTAAGGAGCAGTTGTTTTTTTTTACATTGATAAGATGAAGAAGGCTGTGACAAGGATCCTAAATGCCTTCACAAAGTGGCTCAAGGACTACAACAAGCACACTGAAGTCAGAAGATCCTAGTTTGAAGGTGGTTAGAGTTTTGTAATTCTTTGAGATTAATAAATTTCTCTCCTGAAAATGTCTCAAAACTTCTAGAATGCACCTGGTATATATGGATTCATCAGGATAAGTTCAAATATTGGTTATGAAAAAGGCATGGATCTGACACCTCCAAATCTCCCTATTATAGGGAAAACACTAGGGTAGACTGGGCGTTTTAGCTTTGTTAACAACCAGTCAAGAAGATCCCTTAATTCATAACAATGGAAACAACAGTGTGAAACTACTCCACCCTACCTTCCCAGTCACAAATATTAAAGAAAAGAAACTCTGGAGTAAAAGTAAAAGTAAAAGTATTCTATACGTCTCCTAATATATCCTTGATTTCTTGCGTTAGTTTTTTCTGAATGTCAGGGTTCAAAGACAAACTGTGTGCCATAAAGGACAATGTTGAAGCTGTAGTCTCATAACCAGCCAGAAAGAAAATAAAGCACTGTGCCACAATCTCTTGGTCTGTCATTTCTGAAAGAAAACAAAAAAAAAATAATCATCATATAGTACTTAATTTCCTAGAATTTCTTTCACCTTAATTTCATTAGTAGTATTAGTAGTAATATTATCTTGAATTTTATTATTATTAGATGAAGCATTATCAGCCATTATTCATTTTGGACTAGGATTTCTTTCATCTTAATTTTACTTGCTTTTTATTACATTAGTAGTATTAGTAATATTATCTTGAATTTTATTATTATGAGATGAAGCCTTGTCTGCCATTATTCATTTTTGACTAGGATTTCTTTCATCTTAATTTCACTTGCATTTTATCACATTAGTAGTATTAGTATTAACATTATTCTGAATTTTATTATTATTAGATGAAACATTGTCAACCATTATTCATTTTTGACTAGGATTTCTTTCATCGTAATTTGTTTCTAGTATAAAATAACTAAAAATAATAATTACTTAAAATGTCTAAGTAAATAAATGTTAAATAGCCTGAGTTTGTTTTATACTCTTACTTTTGGGAGAAGTGTATTAAAAGAAATCCAGACAGTTTATTAAAAATAATTTCATTTGTGTGTAAAAGTTTGTTTTTTTTTTATTTAGAATTGGTTCTAAAAAGAACTCTAGAAATAACTGTCATTGTGGTCTGTTAGGGATTCATTTTTTCAAATTCAGAAAATATATATTACCCTCATATTTTTTGCCAAATGAAAAGGATGGAATCCACTTTCATAAAATTTAAATTTAAAGCTCATTGCTCCACCCCGAGTATATTTTAGATGGATTCAGAGATGAAAAGCAGGAGGGGGTTAGACATAACACAGATGGGACAACGCATGATGGCTGCAGCAGAAAGGAGTGATATATTACATAGAAGAGATATAGCCTTCTGGCTGTAGAAAGATTCTAGGCTTCCTCACATGAAAGTTGCCAGTAGAGCAAAGGACAGAAAAATTTTGGCATTCTTTAAAACTGCTCTGACAAAAGACATTTCACGACAACATAAAATTTTCTGGAGACTCTTGCGAGAAAAGAAAAATATCATTAAATGGCCTTTGTGAACCAAATGAGACCCAAGCAGAAAGAAAACCAAATGACATTGCAAAAAGATTATTAAAGGGCTCCAGTGAACCATATGGAACCCAAGCAGAAAGAAAGCAGAACTACATTGAAAAATTACTGTTAAAACCTCTCTGAGAATCTCAAGGGAGATATGTGTAGGTTTTTCATTTGTTTATTAGATGGGTGCACAGCACTTTTTTTTCTAAAACTAATTTCTTATTAATTTCAACACCTTTCATATTACCTTCCCAATTTTTTTTTTTTCATGATTTGAAAAACTTTGCATTGTAAATCGTTTTTAGAGTCAATTATTTCTTTAATTTTGTTGTTACCTTGCCTTGTCCTTAATAAGGCACATAAAAGGGAATTTTTGTGCAAGTTATTTTTTTGTAAAATTTGTACTTTGTTATATTGTTTGGTATCAATTTAATGTTGAAATGTTTATACCTTTCTAATTTCATGAAATAATTACAAGTATTTGTTACTGTATGCATCCTTTTTAACATTCAGGATAAGAGAGTGGACGTTCTCTCTTCTTGCATTCTCTCCCAAGAAAAAAAGAATTATTTTATTTTGTACAAAGAATTTAGTTCTTGTAAATTATTTTTTATATTTTGCACAAAAATTTAGTCTAACCAACACCTTTATCCACTGTGTCATGTGTCTTCAAGGACACATGGCATAGTGGATAAAGGCGTTGGTTAGATCCAGTGACAGGACCCAAAGAGTGTGAGTTCAATACCCAGTTAAGGCAGTGGAGAATTTTCAGAGGGAAATTAGCAGGAGATAACCGATAACTGACATCCAACAAACATGGCACGTGGAACAAGAACAGTCTACCCCAGTGATATTTAAATAAAAGGTTCAGTTCGAAATTTAACCACCTGAAGAAAAAAAGCATACAACAGCCGAAATGTTGTGATAAATATGGCGACAAAGATGAGGACAATAGTCCGAATAGTGGAAATAATATAAAAATTTAGTTATTGCAAATTAAATTTTTATAACATTGCCAACCATCATTCATTTTCAACTTGTGTTACTTTCATTTTAATTTTATTTGCTTTTTATGACATTCATAGTATTTTTAGTAACATTATATTAAATCTTATTATTATTAGATGTAATGTTGTCAATCATTCTTCCTTTTTCACTTGTATTACATTTATCTTAATTTCACTTGCTTTTTATTAAATTAATAGCATTATTAGTATTATCTTGAATCATATTATTATTAGATCAACCATGGCCTGAAGATTGTGTTGAAGCATGAAACATACTGCTGCTACTCTGTGTTGACCTCAGTATCCATTTTTATACTATATACATGTATATATATATATATATATATATATGTATATATTATATTTTTTTATGTTATTTTAATGCCTATACTTGGACAGTGTGAAAAAAAAACCTCCATAATACAATTTCAAACAAATCAATATCAGGGAAAAAATTCAATAAAATGAGAAAAGACTAAAAACATCTGCGCCAGTTAAAAATAATCAATCAGCACCATAATGTCTAGTCAAAAAAAAAAAACACCAGCAGAGTAACTTTTTTAAAACATAAAAAGCTCTAATACACTGATTTAGAACAAAATTATATATATATATATATATATATATATATATATATATATATATATAAATATATTATAAATTAACTGATTTAAAATATGGTTTCTTCACTACACAGGATTAAACATGTTTCAAAAACTTAAATAAAATGTTTCAAATTTAATTATATAATTAAATTAAAAGCATTACAGAACTAATACTTTTAATTTAATTATATAATCAAATTTGAATGTTTTAGCTTCAGTTTTTGAAACATGGTAATTCCTGTGTAGTGAAGACAAATTTTTTAAATTAGTTAATTTATAATATTTATGCTCTGTAAATTTATATTCAGCACTGTTTCAATAAAAAATAAAAAAATGTCAATAAGAACACTGGATTATATATCTTACTGTTCTTTCTTTTTTATTATAATATATATATATATATATATATATATATATATATATATATATATATATATATAAATTTATTATTATATTCATCACTAATTATACTCTGAATTTTCTTCAGTCAGGATGAATAGTTGCATTCTCAATGAGGCCCGATATATTTGGACTCAAGTTCACGCTGGTGGAATTCAAGTGGAGTTCATATATACAATTCATTACTAAAGATTCTGATCTCTCCCCTGATCTAGCTCGAACAGCTCTAACTTACAATGCCTCAAAAAGCAAGCTTGCGTCATTTCTTTATCCCCATTCAGGCCCAAAGTTTTCCCCAGCGATGATAAAAGACTGAATTCTCAATGAGGTTTCAAGATTTGAATATTGGGTCTCAAGTTCATTGCAGACCTCAAGTGGAACTCATATGTTTATTCAATTACTAAAGATGCTGGAAAAATGAAGGGCTAATTCTATAATTCCAGGAATTATGTAACTCCTGCTGTCATGCCTTATCTTTATAAGTTAGATTAGACCAAAAAAAAAAGGAGTATTGCTGCTACATGTGGTCTAGAGTAGCTCAAGTGTTACTTTCCAGCCTTTATAGAGTTCAAAATTGTTTGCATGATCTTGTGGGAGGAAAACTAATTCACCATTCAGCAGCCGCTTTCTTGCAGAGGCAAAGTTGCAAGGGCATCACTACACTATTGCTATTTCCATAGCAAATGTTCAGATGAACTTTATCTTTTGTTCTACTAGTTCAGACTTTTATAGCCAAGACACAATATACTACTTCAATGGAGTTAAAACACCTTCATTTTCTTTGTGCTCTAAAAAAAAAAAGTTCCATTCTGACAGCTTTTCCCCAAGAACTGCCATTTTATGGAACATGCACCTGCATCAATGCTTCCTTGAACAATACAATCCAAACCTCTTCAAGTCAAGGGACAATCATTATCTATCCTCCATATCCTCATAATCTTCACCTCCTATTACTTTCTCTTTTATTCATATAACTGATGTAATGGAATAACCTGCTACCCCCATGAGTAGTGGTACTATAGGTGATAACCACCTATAAGTATCCATGAGGACAGCAGACAGGAGAGTTGAGCTGGGATCTGTGAGTGGCTTTTCGATAGCAGCACGCACACAACTATACTGACTTGCAACAATCATGTGCATAATTATTACTTCTTTGCTTGTTGTACTGGTTTCTACAATAAACCTGTTACTATTTATCCACCGTGTTTGTCCAGTACATATTTCCTATTAGCATAGAATATAACAATAATATACTTCATTTATCAGTCAATTATGTGCCATGTGTTATACACGCTTAGGCGATCATGTATCTTTCGATACATGACTGATGAAGCAGATTTTTTTCTGCAGTAGATTGCCATTTCTTTCTGTGGTAGACCAGTTTCTATCCTCAATCCGAGCTATAATCCATTACTCCACCGTGCCTCAACATTTATCATTACCATTTTAACAGTAATCCTCTACCTTGAGTGACTCTGGAGCCTTGTATAGAGTGAATCTTAGATTTAAAAAAATTAACTATATTTTATTAATGAAGGTTGAAACCTAGTTAAATGAAACTTCTGTTGTCAGCATCTTTCATATGGGCACTTTGACATGGTGTAATGGTTAGCAAGCTTGTCTTGTTAGATCAATTACAACTGAATAGTGAGTTCAATCCACACTGGGTGCTCCATACTTTCGGCCTTGTGCCATATCTAAGCTACACTTGGAAAATCATTTGGGCACTTCAATGTGGTGTAAAGGTTAACAAGATTGTCTCACTAAATCAATTATGACTGAATAGTGAGTTCAATCCACACTGGGTGTGCCATACTTTTGGCCTTGTGCTATGTTTAGAAAATCACCATCAGCATTTTTGACATCTTTTTCTTCATAAAATCAAAATAAAATAAATGCAAAAAATGCTGGGGAAGTGGTCAGTCTCTGTGTCGCTCCTGGAAGTAACTAACTCCTCTTACCACATTCTACTTTTAGAAGAATCAGATGAGACCAAAAAATGGAATATTGCTGCTATATGTGGACTGAAACTGCCCAGTCTTCACTTTCCAGTCTTGACAAAGTTCAAAAACATTTACACAGCCTTGTGGCTGATGAATTATATTCAACTCTACAATCCCTTTCTCACAGATGAAACATTGCAAACCAATCATTATTTTATCACTATTCCCATGGAAAATGGTCTGGTGAGCTACATTTCTTAGTTCCACAGTTCAGATCTAAGACCTGTCATGCCATGTATACAGGGTCAACTTATCCTCATTCTTTTTGTATTCTATTGGTAAGAAGACATCTACTTCCTGAGAATTGCTACTTTGTGGAACATAAAATTTTGATTATTGATGAAATCCAAAGAAGAATCTGCAATGTTATTGGTCCTGACCTGAAATCAGTCTACTGTTATAAAGTAGCTTAACTGATTCATTTCTATAAATACTTTGATGGTAATTCTTCTGATGAACTTTCCTCTATGATAGCTACATTTTATGAATATAAGCACAATACTAAAATGGTGGCAATGTCTCATTATTTTAGAGTTGAATTATCTAGATGTAACCATAAATTCTATGCTAATAGTTTCTTCTATAGCACTTCTTGCTTGTATAACTCTCTTCTGGCTTCTTGCTTTCCTGTCAACCTTGCTCTTGAAAAATTTAAATGCAGTGTTAACCATTTGTCTTCTTAATTCTTGTTCTTTTATTGTCTTCTCTCCTTAACAGTATATTTTTCTCATATTCTCTAACATTCAGTAACCCCTTGCATCTTAGTGATTTTATTGCCTTGCTTGGAGTGAAATGATTAAAAAATACACTTGAAAGAGTGCTTCCTCGATCATTACAATCTTAACCTCTTCATGTCTAAGGTGAACTGTTATCTGTCTATACTAATTGAAATTTTTATATTTGAAAAAATCTTTTAAAAAGACTAGACTATCTGTCTATATCTCTGAGATGATGTATTATGATTACTTGCATTATTTACAATTTATAATCAATAATTTGCAATATAAGCTCTAGTAAAATGTAATAATAATAACAAAAATTGCTATCACCTGAAGGTTGGAGTATACAATGGCTGGACCATTGTAAATATGGCAATGAGGATAACAGTCTGAATAATGTAAATAATGCAAATAAGACTAGACTACAACAAAATAGTTATGGTTTAAGGTAAAGAAAATAAAATTTTTATCTACTTACTTCTTCTTTTAAAACTTGTGTCCGTTGGCTTTGAAATTTTCTGTTCTGCATCACCAATTCTGTTAGTTTCCTTGGAAGCATTTGGTGCTTCTTGTGTATTGATCATCATTTGAAGCAAATCATTACTATCCTGACAATTAAAATACTGCATATATGCTTTTGTTGGTGTTAATAGACAAACATATTGGAGAAGATGACATACAAATTTTTATATACCAAAACAAAAGGCTCATAAAATATTTCAAAATAGAAAAGTGGACATTTCTGACAAATTCAGTGAATCAAAATATATTGTTTTACCCACCAATTCTCTCACAATTACAATAATTACTGTTATAACTATTTCTAAAACAATAAAAAATTTCAATATCTTTCTATACATGGCCCAGTGGATAAAAGTGTTGGTTGAAATAATCCATTGACTTGACCCAAGGAGTTATTAGTTCAATATCTGGCCACAGCAGAATTGAACAAAAACTTAGAGAGTTGAGTTACTAAAAGAAATCAACTGAAACTAAGATATCTGGAAAAGCATGTGGAACTAAAACAATCTACTCCAGTGGATGAAATAAAGGGTGCAGTTTGAAATTTCAGCATATATCACCTGAAGAAGGTCAGAGTGTACAACAGCCAAAATGTTGTGAATATGGAAATAAAGAGGTGGATAATAGTCCAAGCAATGTAAATAGTGTTAATAAATGGCGTAATTAATGCCAGACAAAAAAATAATAGACTAAAACATGAAGGAGAAATTTACTAAGTTACCTGTAATAATTGCCATAAGGAACACATAGGAGAAACATCAAGGAATTTAAATAAATAGATTTTTTTCTTTTTAATCATTTCACTACAAGCAAGATGGTAATGCCACAAAGTTACTGGGAGTGAAAGAGATTGAAAAGACTTTAGTGAGGAGAAAAGACAATAAAAGAACAGTATTCATGAAGACAGAAGATGGCGATGGATGTTGCATTTAAATTTAAAGTGTGATGAAAGAAACTTAGAATAGACTTTATGGTTATATCTAGTTATTTCAACATTAAAATTATGACACCTAGTTGCCAATCTATTAATACACTTAAATTCGTACATTTGACATACCAAGGAGAAGAGCTAATTGGAACAAATGAATAGGTTTATAAAAAAGACAGAGTATAGCCATTTCACAGCAATGGAAAAGTCACTGGAGTTGGGATGCCAGGTCAGGACCAATTACATTACAGACTTTCCTCTGGATTTTGTTGAGAATCTATGTTCAGATATATAGTAGGAGTAACAGACCAGATATGCCAACAATATTCAAAGCACAGACAAATGGTAGATTTATTAATGTGCAAGATGGATTCTGGAAAGAAAAAAATTGTTTGAAACAACACAGTGAACCAACTTTCCTAGCAACAGACCTAGCAATTGATTCAATATAATATTTCCATTTTATGTCAGTGAAAAATGTGAGACCAAGAAGGCACAATGAGATGATCTGCTGGAGGTTAGCATCAACCATGCTGATGGAAGACAAAAAAGTTTTCTATAGTAATTAAAAGGTAGCAGTTTTGTTTTAGAGGCTTTACGATTTATAAGCCATTTCTTGCACCAGTTAAAAACTGATTGGAGGCATTTTTTGAGAGCAACTGCCAGTTTTACTTTGTCGGACTTACTAGTAAAACAGGATAAATATTTATATATGTTTATTTGTTTAATGATATATCAAATCCTTTATAAGTCATTTAATGCCGAAATTTAATTTTCTTGGGAGCTTGAGTATTTTTTCTTTTTACAAAAGACTAGTCTATTGCTAGTAAATTATTCTTTTACTTTTTTTAAAAAAAATCTATACTTTCAGTTTTTTTGATCACAGTTTGGGGTTCACTATTAAATATTTACAGCATCAGCATAAATACGTAGTTGTGAACTGATGACATTGGGAAGATCAGTGATGAAGGTAAGAAATAACGTAAGTCTAAGGATAAGGCAATTTACAAAGACAAAAGTGTATAAAAAAATGCTTACTACAGTCTGTCTGAAGTTATTATGCAAATCAAATAAACCTCAATAATTCAAAAAATTCTGAACCAATATTTGTCAAATTTAAACTCATCCATTTCCACCTTTGGTAAATTATTTAAATTTTCTGCCATTTTTAATGGTTAGTTTTTTAGATATTTGAAATTTACAAAAATGGACTGACTAAAGTTATTATGCAGATTAAACTAATATTAGCTTAAGATCTCTAAAATCTAATAAAAACTTTTCTTTTTGTCCATAATATATGTTGAATATATGGGAACTGCTGAAAAACAGAAAATAACAATGTTATTGAGAGAGAGAATGTCTACATTGGAGATATCAAAGGAGCTTTGCAGAGATCATTGAATAATAGAGAAGGCTGTTTGAAATATAAATAATTTGAGAACTTGAAGCAAAGGAAAAGGCTTTAAGAACTCACTTCCTTGATGGAAACTTAAGCGAGTTATAGCGAAACAACCACTTTTGACTAGTGCTCAGATCTTTGAAAAGGCTGGAATTGAGGGAGACAAGAAGGACAAAAGATGTAGAATATTTTGTGAATTGGGATCTGTAAAGAAATCTCTTAGGCAACCTCCTCTCACCAAGGCAAATATTTTAAAGTGTCAAAATTGGGCCAAGAAATACATGAAAATTGATTTTTCTAAATTAATTTTCGTGGACGAATCTCAAGTGATATTTGATGGGTCTGATGGCTGGGCCAATGGATGGATTTTATCCAATTCAGATATGCTTATGGCTAAAAGAAAACAACAAAGAGATGGTAGTGTTATGATATGGGCTAAAATTGTTGACCAAACCATTATTGGACCAAAGTTGATGAAGCAGTTAAACTGAACAGTGCTAACTATTGCAATTTTATGAACAAGACTTTCTTGCAGTTTCAAAGAGAAATGTTTATTTATGCAGAACAATTCTCCTTCTCATGCATCTAAGCTTACTCAAGAATTATTTGAGTATAAAAGACTTACAAGAGAGAAGATAATGAATGGCCACCATCAAGTCCTGATTGGAATGTGATTGAAATATTATGGTCAGTTGAGAAGATGAAATTATATGAAAATGGCAAACAATATAACAGCAAAGCAGACCTATTGGAAGCAATTAAAACTACCATGTTGGAAATTGAACCTGCTGATGTAAAAAAATTTAACAAAATCAATGGATAATAGATTACTGGCTGTTATTGAGAAGAAGGACCACTATATTAAAATGTAAAGGATTTAAAGACTTTTAATATGAGTTTGTTATTTGTTCTGATAGGTGTTGATCAATTTTTGATGATTTTATTACCTTTTTATTGAAGTAAAATGTGATTATTTGGTTTTGAATAATAACTTCAGATGGTATTTTTTAGAATACATCAAATAACTTCAATAACATCAATAAAACATGCAACCTAAAATTTTAACTCTGGCTTTGTTTTGACATCTAAATTGATTATTTAAAATTGACAATTCTTTACAAACCGAATTTGAATTATTGAAATTTATATGATTTGCTTAATAACTTCAGACAGGGTGTAGATCATTCACAATAAATTTATGTCCAGGTTCTTACATCTCACCTTTTTTTTGCAGATCATTTATTATCACAATGTGGTATACTAAATAACAAAAGTGATAAAGACAAGAACAAACTAAATTAAATTGGTTAGAGACTATATATCCAGGCACATCTAAAAAACATGTTATAATTTGAAAGTTTAAAATTTCAGCATCTTCTTCCCTTCAGGTGTGTGTGTAATTACATCAGCAAAAACATCACTTTAGTCCAATAAAATCCTGAAGGACATAATGTGTCACACAAAAGATTTTCCACTTTGTCATTAATTTTCTTAACATAGACAAAAATATATATAAAAAAATTATGGGACATTGCATCTCAAAAATAAATTACAGTTTGTTTGTGTTAAGTAAAAACACAAATGAGGAACATTATTAAGGCAAAAAATCCCATTAACGATATTTTTAAAGGAAATAAACACAAATATTTAACTTTGGAGATAATAGTCAATGCTTTAAATAACCCATCAAGAGTTGATAAACCATAAAAAATATCAATCAATCAACTCTCTCCTTCATTGACATAGTCAATAAAATTTCTCTGCTAAGAGCAGTAAAAGTAGTTACCAACCATGTATTGTGCTACTTAACACTATGAGAAAAAAAACCCAAAAAACTTTCAACCTGGTAAAAAGATGGTTAACTTGGTTTTCAGTAAGAAGCAGAAACAATTCAACTTTGGTATGTTGGCCTCAGGAAGGCTATGGAAACTAATACTGCAATTCAACTGACTTGGCATACTAGGGAATAATGACAATGGCTGCTTTTGAGCTATAAACACAACCCCATGCTAGAGGCATGGTGGAGTAGCCGATAACGACTGAGTCAAATTCACTACATTCACTTGAGCCCAAATACCCTTGGAAAAGGTATAAATCCATTTCCTTCCCTCAGCTATGGGTGAATAGCAGGACAGATTGGGCCCTATAGCCTTGGTTGACAACCAGTCTAGCAGAAGGAAAATTCTCAATTCAAAACAGCTTTTAGAAATCCAACGACCTGCTGCCTTGTAAGTCCTGCCTCTTTAGGTAAAGGCTAGAAAAAGGTAACTTCAAAAACAAATCCACCTCACATGTTTGCCTCAAAGAAAGGATTGCCCCTCCCCCCTACTTCAAGCCATGCCAGAAAATAATGGAGTCCTTGGGCTTAGCACAATGGTTCAAACAAACATGGACTGGGACATGGCACGGCATGGTGGAATCTCTGATTTCAGACCATTTGTCCATGGGAGTATCACCCATGGCACTTTAGACAATGAGAAACCAACCCCATATGGTGACATGATGATGTCACAGATGATGATGATTACAATGATTATGATGATGATGACTACTTACCAGGATTTTCTTCTCTTTTCTGTCAGCCAAAAGCATCCGACAAAAGTTAATTAAAAATTTTCTTGATGATACAACAGAATTAAAGAGATAAGTACTACGCACAAATAATTTAAATAGCGGGTTGCAGATAACTGTAAAAAAAAAAGAAAAGAAGAAGGTATTAAAATTCATATGAGACTTTGTTCATTAATGTTGGTTGCAGTACTTAAAATGCCGAATAAAACCATTACCTTCTATTTAGAAAAATGTATAGTGACAACAAAGATAGCATAAAGTCAGAAATGCTGTCAGTCAGTGGAAGTCTGAAAGAAAAGGCATTTAAGGTAAGCAGTCTTTGCAATAAAGTACTCAATATCACAGGTTGAGCATTAATAGGATTAATACAAATATGAAATTTGTCACTTAGCTGATTGTTATCTAAAAAAATGTATATTTTTTAATTTAAAGGAATTTATTTAAAATTAAAAAAAATTAAAATGGTGACAAACTTTAACCTGTGTGCCTACAATAAACGGGTGTGTCAAAAGGACAGTTTTTCCCTTGACACTGTTATTATTTTGTACTATCTTCACTTCCTTGATAATGTTTATTGTTTTAAAAAGTGATGATTAGAATTTTAATAAAACTCAACCATGTGAAAGTGAATTTATACATTTTCTTTGTTTTTGAGAATTTACAACAAAAATATTAAACAGTATTTATTTATTAGATTAATTATAAGAATAATTTTATACAGGGAGTCCATAAAGTTCGTGTGCACTTTGAAAAAATTTAAATTTAAAGTGCACATGAACTTTATGGACACCCTGTATTAAAAATTCCAACCAATAAAATGCAATGTTTATAATTTACCAATTTATAAAGAAATAAATATGAAAACAATTTTTTATTCATAAATTTATAAAAATTTATTAAATCATAAGATATGTGAAGCAACTATAAGAAAATCATTATTATTTATCATTTATAAAGTTGGAATCCATTGACAATTCACTGAGGTTTTGTTAACCATTCCAAAGAATATAATTTGCCAACTGTGCCAATTACTTTAGTCAAAATGCTTAGTGTCCCCTCTTCCTTTAAGATTTCTTCATCAACCAGCATTTGACTGACAATAAATTTTTTACATTTTGATTTTCATAAAGAGTCTGACCTATAATTGCAAGAGTTTCAGGCCTTGAATTTCTATTGATTAGGAATCTTAGATCCTGATTTAAAAAAAAATGGAAAATTAAAACAAGAAGTAATCTAAGATATAAAATTATCTGAGAAGAAAATGCATCATGTCTAGAAAAATCAAGTTTATTTAGTTTTTCTTGTTCTACAGTTTGTTGGGGATGTGCAGAATGAACTAAGATTTTTGCTATGGTGTTAGAATATATCAGAAGGAATTTTTTGTTAGGTTGTGTGATCTTCTCTTGCATCCACAACAATAAATAATACTTGATATAAAACAAGGCAAAACATGTATGCAATTCAAACAAACAAATGCATTTATATACAATACAAATATTATATACAAAATATTATTACAAGATATTATTGTGTTGGTATGTTTGTTAGTGAATGAAGATTTTGTTTGTTTTTTGGTGTCTTGGTGTATTTGTATCACAGTCTATAAGAATTCGTAATTAGTGTTTTAAACACCGTTATTATGTTTTTAGAATTGAGTCATTCAGAAGTAGTCTACCCTTAACTGTGTTACGAATGCAGATAGCCCAAACACGCATACACACATATATTAATGTTAATCTCCGCTCGACAACAGAAAAGGTCACGTGGGAGTCTCGAGTCATTTTGGGGAAGCAGGTCAAGAGGTTGACTGACCCAGTTACCCGTAGCAACAGGCGTCTAGACAGAATCTAGACAAGGGACTGACGTATGGTCGTGAAGCAGCAGGAACTGGAATTCGCGCCAAAATGCAGGACACGTTGGAATTAGAAAATTATTTGGAAGTCAGTTGCTGTCTTGTCTTTGAAGGAGCAAGACTCGAAATCGAAGCGCTGATAACTTATGAATGGAAAGATGAGACTCATTTTGGTAATGATGGAACTTGTCTGATTCATCATAAGCAACTCCGGATAAAAAATATAAGGATGTATATTTCTGTTCGTCAACTCCAAATTGAAGAAGATAAATCGAGTTATTTATCACAGAAGACGCAAGGAAATTTGCACGCTGAGAATACAGCCTGTGTTTGAAGAAAGAAAAGAGACATCAAGAGAGAAGAAGAAAGTATATATCTCTGTTGCAGCCGGGCCGTGTTTGAAGCTGAACTGTGTAAAGAAGAAGAAAGAAAGAAAGAAAAGAGAAAACAAAAGAGAGAAGAAGAAAGTATATATCTCTGTTGCAGCCGAGCCGTGTTTGAAATTGAATTTGTGTAAAGAAAAGAAAGAAAGAAAGAAAGAAAGAAAAGAGGAAATGTGAGAGAGAAAGGAAATGACAATGAATAAGAGAGAGAACTGAATATAAAGATAAGTAACTATATATTTTGGACCCGTGTTAGAAAGATACACATGCATCCATAAATTTTATGTTCTCACAAACACCTTTCCACATGTCGAAATAGTAATTTATAAATCCTATCCCATCTCTTTTTTTTTTTTTTTTTGGTTATGCGTTGATTTCTGCATTTGTAGTTATTCATACTTATTTTTTTTTTCGTTCGGGTTCAGTCGAATCCACTTGGATTTGGGCATATTTTGGTATCCCAACATAAGTCTTGAGGTTCTGGTCGTCGGATGCTTTACTCATACTTATATTTTTCTTTTATTGTAATATCTTGTGTATATGTATATATTAAATTTCTTCTACCAAAATTTATTACGCCTTATCGTTCATCCTTGAATTGTGGATCGGTATATGTGTTGAAACCGAAGCGAACCTGGGAAAAGACTACTGTTTGATTATCTCAATCGAACAGTGTTCTTTAAAATATTTTGTTTACTAATTGTCCATTTGTCATGATCTGGGAGAGATAGCCCGTATATCTCCATAGACGTGATAACATCTGGTCGGCGTATGATTGCATTATAAATTATTCGTTGAACAGGGCATATGACAACTGTAAGTATGAAATATGTTCAATAATAGTATTTACTTAAATTGTAGTGAGCGTTAATAATTCACTTTGGATAAGTAAAGTCTTGCGAGTTGAAGTTCTTTGTATTTACAGAGTAATCTTCGAGTCGAGTTTGTGGACAAGTCAGTTGTGGTTTTGTTTGCGCGGGAAAATTATAATCGCAAGTTACGTGGATTAGATTAGCGTTTCTCTGTGTTCGCTGGACTGACTGATTTATCGTAGATGATCAAAGAGAATGTATAGTTTGAGATTCTTGAATAACGAAGAAGTTCGTAGAAGATATTGAACGGGAAAGATTTGTTGACTCGGTATCGAGACGGGAGTAGTAGTCGTCACATTTTTAAGCTAGAGTGAGCGTCCGGAAAAATGGTCTGCTGCTGATCTGTCCAGATCTGCATCTGCGTGTTACACGTGCTTTGGGTTCTTTTTTAGAGGTCATGATCACGTGGGTGGATCCAAAACGATTTTGCGCCAAAACTTCGAAGTGCACGTGCGGACAACCTGAACCAATCAGAGGGCTAGATTTATGAATGAAAGTTGGAATAGTGCATTACTCGAAAAAAGGTAAAATTGGGCTAATAGACGAGCCCAATAAGTTCATAGATATTTTATACAAATTTTTATTCCAAGTACCAAATCTAATTATACCAAATCTAAATTCTAGTATCAAACACAAAAACCTAATTATTAGGAACAGCAAGTCATAATAGGTGCAATGTAATCAAAACAAGACTCAACTATTGCATAAAATCTTAAAGGAAAAATTTAAGCATGAAAAAGATACATATACAAAGTTTAAACAAAAATGTCCTTTTGTGTACTTATTAAGGCAGGATAACAAATTTCTGATAAAAAGGATTACCATCAAAAAATGGAAAAATTACAATTTGGGAAAAGACATGGATTCAGTGACAAAAATAGAAAACAATTCAAGAAGGCAGTAAAAAACAAATGTGCAACCACCTTTCAGAAAAAGACGAAAACCCCTACTTTTACTTGCCACATAAGCATCTCTGTGATATATAGTAATTCTAGAATAGTCTCTTTTAAATTCACGCAGTTCATGCTTGGAAAAATTAATTAGAACTTTTTCATTCTTTGTCATCCAACCACTGCAGTATTTCACTTGTGAACTTCTAGGTTCTCTGCAACCGGCTTCTAACTGGTGCCTTCTTGATGCTCTCGATGTCAAAAGCCTCCTGCTCCTTGATGTTGATTTGCCTTTTCTCCTTGCTGTTAAAAAGTCTTCTTACTCTTGTCCACTGACCTGAGTTCTATTTATTTTGAAATGATGGCTCACAGAAAACTCCATCCAAGTTTTCACAAGGGCACGAGACCATGGCTCTCATTGGCCACAAAATACGAAAAAGAATTTTCCATAAACTGGAAATGGATCCATCACAAATTTTGGTGGGTTTTAACCGCTGAACCGAAATAGATATACAAGTGTAGCAATTTCTTACACAAACTGTCTGACCTTCATAAAAATACACTTCTCTCAAAAGAACATGCACTAAAAAACCTAGACGATTAAAACATTTATTCAAGACTAACATTTTTAAAGTAGTAAAATAAAATTTTTATAATTTTTATAAAATAATGAATTAAAAACTTGTTTTTATAGCTATTTATCGATAAAAGGGTAAATAATAAATATTGCATTTTAGTTGGTTCAGATATTTTGAAAATTTTGTAGGTTTTCATAAATTTTTTCAATAAAAAGATTTCTTTTCAAATGTATATTTTTATAAAATGATAATGAATCTTTATAAAGGGTTTACCCTAGAATTTGCTTTCGAGTTGTTTAAATGACTGCTTAAATTTTTTATGCTTGGGTTTAATAAATACTGGGAGCCCAGTAAAATGTGAAAAATTCAGAAAGACATGAGACAACATTTGAAAACTGGTGACGACTGATGTGACTGAAAAATTCAGGAAGAATTTCTGCACATTTCATCACTCCCCATGTCAGATGTTCTTTGTAATGTATAAGTTGACACTCAAAATCAGTGCATTATTTAGCCATGCTAGAAGGGTAGAATGAAAGACGAAAGTGGTCTGCAGATAACCTTTAAATGACAAGTCACAAGATCGAGCAGCAATTAATCAATCATAAAATAACCAATTAGAGTTAAGTAATTAAACGAGAGTCGAATGATTATTCAAAGTCATGAGTATTCAAGGAATTTATTCAATGTTATTCAAGGTCAATTATTCCTGAAAGATAAAACATTGATAATAAATTGACCTCTTTTTTATTGGGCACTCTTTAAAAAAGAAAGTCATTTCACTGTAAGTAAACTAGTAGAACTGGTAGAATTATTAAATGTGGTATAAAATAAAGTATTTAGTAACTCTTTTTGTTCAATTTTATGCTTTCCTTTTATTTACTTTTCTTTTTATGAGTTATCAGTAGTAAAATTGCTTAAGTTTTAGTCAAATTTGCAGACAGTTGTTTATAAATGAGTTGATTTAAAAAAGCAACATTTCCGTCTAAATTTCTGGGATGAGGAGTTATAAGCATTTACACTATTTATATTTGGACTACTGTCCAAATCTTTGTTGCATTTATCACAACGTTTCGGCCATTATGCCCTCCGGCCTTTATCAGATGTATATAAATCTGGGTTAACTAAGGGGAATTCTGAACTGAATGTTTTATTTAATCTGCGGGGATAGACTTTTCTCATTCAGCGTCCACATGATGAGATATCCCTAGACCTGGGCAGCAGGACAAGAACAGTCTATGCCCATAGATTAAATAAAAGGTTCAGTCCAGAATTTTCTGTAGAATACCTAGAACAATATACACCTGAGGAGGGCTGGAGGGTAGAATGGCAAAAACACTGTGATAACAACAACAAAGATGAGGACAATAGTTCGAATATAAATAGCATAAATAAAAAGATCATGTATAAAGTTTAAAGTAAATCATTGCGACTGAAAATATTTTTTTATTATTTAATCATTTATTTACACTTCCACATACAACTATAATGGGAAAAAAAGTACATAATAAAAAGAACTGGTTTATTATCATGTAATAAGGGCAGTGGCCCTTGTTGTAATATACTAGTTCACTAAAAGTGATTAGTTACTAGAGATACTGAGCAAAGGAGATATTAGAAGGAATCCAGCAGCAAGGCCTCTAATTGGGAGATTTGAGGTTTTGCTGTTGTTTTTAGGTCATAGTTAAGAAGTTTTTTAATCTTTTCACTCCAAGCAAACTACTAAGATATATATATATATATTTCTTGTATCTTAAATCTGGCATCTGTTCTGTACATGTCAATAAAAAGAAGTATTTACACAATTCTATTTATATAAAGAATAATAAAAGTATGAAATGTAACAAAAACCAACTCACATGATAGGAGAAATATAAATCGAAAGCGGTCAGTACGGATGGTTTTCATGGCATTTTGGACAAAAGGATTGTTGGGATCATTCTGTGAATCAACTTCAATTCCAAATGAAGTTGAAGCAATCACATCCATTGTGTAACCACCAAACAATCTGTAATGAATCAATATGTGTGAATGACAAGATTCTTTCGGAAGCCATGTTGGAATAGTTAATAGTTGAGATATTGTCTGTAATTATGAAAAATTATCAGTTTAAGTTATCTGGATTGTGATATCTAAAAATAGAGATATTATACGGTTACACAGTTCTTTGAAGACACAAATTTTAATAGCTCTAAGTTTTTTCTAACTTGTTTCTAATTTCTTAATTCCTAAGGCTGTATAAGCCCTTTTGAACTCTATCAAGACTGGAAAGTAAGGATTGGGCAGCTCCTGCCCAGGTATAGCAGCAATATTCTATCTTTGTTCTGATGTGGCTCTTGTAAGAGCAGTGCAGGATATGACATTCAACTCATCAGGAAAATAAATCTATTGAATTCATTAAACGATATCAGATTTATTTTAAATACACAATATAAAAGAATGGATAGAGGCATGTTGAAGTAATGGCTTGCAGTTTGAATTAAGGAATTGGAGAGCTGAGTTTGAATTCCACTCAAGTACACTTACATGCTAATACCCTTGGGTAAGATATGAATCCATAGCGTCTCCCCCCAGCTATAGGTAAATAGCAGGGTAGACTGGGTTCTGTAACCTTGGGTGTTCACTTTTGCCTTTCACTTTGTCAGGTTGTGAATTTGAGGATTTACAAGTACCAAAATTATACTGGCAACCTGTATCCTATACGGACATGTATCCTATATGGAACCATCATATAGCCTGATGTGCTTTACCGATTTTGCCACAGAGGAGTGTTTTGGTTAGTGTTTCAATTCCTGTCAGAGGACGCATATTTTCTATGAAAATTTCTCGGACATTCAGGCCGGTAAATGTTGTTAATACTGTTTATTATAAACAGAGCATTTACTTAAATATTTGTATCTATAAAAAGAACATATAAACATAAAAAAATGTCTTAAACAATTGTCGGACTTTGTCCATTTCATAATATATATATATATATATATATATATATATATATATATATATATTCCATCAAGAAATTAATATGTTATATTAAAAATAAATAGTCAGGGTGGAGGGTTCCATGATAAAAATAATGGCTGTATGACCAAAGTGAGCCTTCCAGTTGGAGGACATTGGCTGTGATTTTACCTGAACAGAGAGAGGTCTACTTGCCCAGGTATGTGGATGTAACTGGTCAAGAGCTCAGCTATATATACATCTGGTCTGGGGATTGATGATGATGATGATGATGATGATGATATTAAAATTCCTGTTTTGTTTTGCTTGAACTCATGGAGAGATATTTTTGCAAAGTAATACTTACGCATTTATGTCAACTTGTTCACCTGATTTTGATTTAGTCTCACAGTTTTTTTCCAAAGTTGAAAGTGCAGTGTGAACAAGGGGCACCATCTGAAAGAAACCAACAGAAAGAATAAAAAAAATGATAAATAAAACATGTCCTCATGAAGATAACCAATGAGAACGAATCTTACTGCATATGCATAAACAGATGCTCTCCTGTGAAGTTACTCAGTTGGCATTGAGATGTCATTGTGTGAGCTTGTGCATTTTGTTTCCATTTCTCCCCATGTCTAATAAACTTTGGGGAAGGCTTGAGTCCTGTAGTGATCTTAGAAAAGGATTGATATTGAAAAAATAACACACATATTTGTACCTATTCTTTAAATGGCTGTTCACAGCAGATACACAACAGATACTGCCTTGCTGAATTTGAATAAGATGGGTATATAAACAACTGCTCTAGAAAGAAATTGGGGTAGTCTCTCATACATCAAAGATAGAGAATGTAAGGTCCACATATTGAATAAAGGCTTTGTGGGGTTGCACCACAAACTGGCCAAGAGTAACTGACAAAGTTGGGAGTTGAAAAAAATCTAATGTTAAATATGAAAGATTCAAGTCATGTGTTACTCATTTGGTCTGCTAGTTTTATTATTAAACCAGCACTCATGACTTCATTACAAATATAATTATTCATTAATTTGTTTTTATCAAGAACATGGTTCCAACTGGAACTTATAAATAACAGAGATGAAAGGAGAAAGCAATGCGTTAACTGATGGATATCTTAAAAAATATTTTTCATTTTTTTTTAAGTTAAAGGGACACTTATATAAGTTTGTGAGGTTCCAAAGGGAATAATTTCAAATGTTAACAAAATTAAGGAAAAAGTGATGAGGCTGTTGATGGAGATCCATCCTGAAAAAAGGACTTTGAAAGTAGAACTAGTATAAATGAATATGTAAGATCCCACATTAATTATTTTAAAGGGGTCTTCAAATGAAGTACATCAAATTTAATCATAACTTGATGACCAGAGAACCAGTCAATTCTATTCTATGAAAAAGTCAAGCATTCAGAGTATAGCCTGAAGACTCTGACAAAGGATTTAGGCAGAGGGTAATTTCAGAAAAATCCATCATGAGATTTTGACCTTGTATCACAATTTGTTATTATATATGTGCCAAATTATACCTCATTCTAAACACATTATCCCAAATTCTAAACACATTACCCCACATTGTAAACACATTCTAAACACATTATACCAAATTCTAAATGCCAATCTTACCTGTCGCATCTTTTTGGAAGTAAAGTTTGGAGATAATATTGTCCGCAAGAATTTCCATTTTTCATCTCGGGCTCTAAGCACCATGTCTGCAGCTATTTTATCACCTGGCTGAAGATTCTGTAAGCAAAATATAGTGATTTACTAAGTGAAGCTTAGATGTGGCACAAGGCCAAAAGTATACTGAGGGTTGAACTCACTACTTAGTCATAACTGATTAAATCATTACACCACATTAGAGTGCCAAAAAACAATTTGGTATGCTTAGTTTACATATGGCACAAGGCCAACAGTATGGAGCACCAAGTGATGATTGAACTCACTATCCAATCATAAATGATGTAATGAATCAAGCTTGCTAACCATTACACCTTGCCCTAAGCAATTATTTGTTTTTTTAATCATTTCACCCCAAGCAAGGCAATAATGCCACTAGGATGCAGGGGGTTACAGGGAATAAAAGGTAATGAGAAGACTTTAGTGGGAAGGATTGAGGAAAGGACAATAAAGAAACAGGGTTCAAGAAAATAGAAGATGGCGATTGAGGTATTTAAATTTTTGAAGTTTGTAGTTATCAGGGAAGCAAGTATCTATAAAAAGAATACCCGCTTGGCCCAGTGGCTAGGATCAAAGTGTAGTATTTGTGAGCTGCCGGGTCGGGTGTCTGTCGAACTCTCTGCTTGCAGAGAGGAACCCGGACGAAGCTCCGCCGAAGGGTAGGGTTTCGTTGGGGGAGGTTGACGGAACTGGCCCGCCTCGGCGGGTTTGGATGGTTATTTATTTTTGGCTGGGCCTACGGGATCAGAGATACCCACATTAAAAAGGCCTTGTGCCACATTCGATCCCCGTGGGTGGATTGATAAATACCATCAGGGAAGCAAGAAATCTGAATGAAATTCCACAGGTGAGAAGTGCAAGAAAAGAAAATATTAGAATAGAAGTGGTGATTGCATCAAGCTAGTTGAATGGTGAGACCTACTTGCCAATCTAGTAGCAAGCTTAAATTTGTGTAATCACAACACCAGGGAAAAAAGCTCTTCAGATTTGGTAAGTGTAGCTTAGATGTGTTGCAAGGCTAAAAGTATAGAGTACCCAGTGAGGATCAAACTCACTACTTGGTCTTAATTGATCTAGCAAGATCAGCTTTCCAACCATTACCCCACATCGAAGTGTCCACTGTAAGCAAAATACAGGGTAACCATAAAGTTTCTTTACAATTTAAAAACTTATTACAAAAGCAAATGAACAGACAAATATGTGGAAATTGTTACAAATGAGGAGTAGACAGTGAAACTTTTTAAACTAATTTGATTCACCTCTATATAGTACACCAAAATGGTACTCAATTTCTTGCCATGTTCGCTGTAGCCATTCTTTTTCCAGGTGTGGGTTAATTAGTAGAACTTTTATCAGTAAAAATCATTATTATCTTCAAAGAATTCTTGCTTAAAAATATTTTCTGGCTTAAATAAACTGCAAACTATAAAAAACAAACCAATCATTTTTTCAGTCCTCAATAGAGAGAGCAATAAAAACTGGTTAAGTTCTTGTTTTGTTTATTTTTTCACCTGTTTTTACCTCTTTATGGTAACTACAATTTTTTATTTATTATTTCTTCCTGTTTTTAATTTTATAAGTTCTTTTTTCATTGCAATTATTAAATACTAGCAGTAGAGCCTGGCGTTGCCCAGGGATGTAACAGTAAGAGATAGATCAAGTATCGACCATCATAAAGACTGAAAAATAAAATTGACAAAGATTATTGTTTAAGGTTGACGGACATGCATGTCTTAATTAGTTTTTTTTTTGTTTGTTTTTTTTTACGAATTGGTCAAACCCAAACTCAAACAAAAACATTGTTTTCAATCGTTATGAGTCTCTACTGATTGAATAGAATTTTATTATAAACAATTGTCTTGGAAATGGAATTTTTAAAACATTCTGAATGTAAAAATAAAGAAAAAAGTGTGCAAGACAATAAGAAACACTACCTGCCAAAAAAAAAAAGTGAAGTTTTGGTTGGAATCGGTTGAAAAATGTAGAAAATCTGATCCCATATATAAATGAACATACACACACAAACAACCTGGGTTTTATAAGTATAACACGATATGAGTTGTCCCCCTTTCATTCTCGCGACAATGATGCCTCTTAATCATGTTTTCAAATTGATTTCGTGCAAAAACAATTGTGTTTTTCCAATTTTGGGCGCTGTCAGAACCATCGCAAGGTAATTTTACGTAGTCCTGTGAAGTTTTGTTGAAATCGGTTGAAAAATGTAGGAAATCCGATCCAATATATAAACGTACAGACACACACACACACACACACACACACACACACACACACACACACACACACAAACCTGGGTTTTATAATAAGTATGATGTCAAAATATGTCTTAATAGTAAGTCGGATCAATGACCTACAATCTGTTGTTAATAGGGACAAGAAATAGCTTGTTAATTTTAACACCTCCAAAATAAAAGTACTCTCTTTTAATCATATAAGAGATCTCTTTTTAACTTCTATCAGCATGGCTTATGTTAACCAGAAGAGTGACTCATTGTGCCTTCTTGGACTAACGTTTTCCACTGACACAAAGTGGAAAGAGTATATTGAATCAATTGCTAGGTCTGCAGCTAGGAAGGTTGGTTCACTGTGTTATGCTAGACAATTTTTCTCATCGGAACGTATCTTACATATTATCTACCATTTGCCCATGCATTGAACATTGCTACCGATACTGGTCTAGTGCTCCTACTATATATTTAGAGATTCTTGATAAAATCCAAAGAATCTGCAATTTTACTGGTCCTGAGCTAGCATCTTGGTTTTAGTTACTTTTCCACTGCCATAATGTAGCTTTGCTGTGCCTTTTCTATAAATATTTTTAAGGTAATTGTTCTGAGGAATATTCCTCTATGGTACCTAGATTTTATGAAATAAAGTGCAATACTAGATTGGTCTCAAGATTTACAGTTGAAATGGAAAGATGTAACCGTAAGTTCTATGCTAACAGTTTCTTCTCTCACACTTCTTGCTTGTGAAACTCTTTTCCAGTTTCTGGCTTCCCAGTCAACTTTGATATTCAAAAATTTAAATGCAATGTCAATCATTATCTTTTGTCTTCTTAATTCCTGTTCTTTTATTGTTCTCTCTCCTTTATAGTGATATTTTTCTTATATTGTCTAACACACAATAACCCCTTGCATCTTAGTGGCTTTATTGACTTGCTTGGGGTGAAATGATTAAAAAAATGCAATAGAATTTAGCTAATTAATATATAATATTAACAGATCAATTTGACCCAGGGTAGAGTTACTATTATCAGCACAGAAAGGAATCATCAAGTCTAATTTAAATTCTTGTTTAGACTGCTATGTTCACTTCCACATTATTTTTCTTAGGGAAAGCAGAAATTCATCTCTTCCCCACTAGACGTGGGTTAAATAGCAGGATAGATTGGGCTCTTATTTTAGATCGTTCAACAAGGACTACTGATACCATGTAATCCAGTACTACATTCCGCAAAGTTAGGTCATTGTCTATTAAATTAGTTCCCCCTACCAGGATTTTCAGGTGAGAAAGGTGACTACACAACTAGCAAAAAAAAGTCCAAGACCTGTCAAATGGCAGATGAACTTTCTTATTTTCAACATGTAAGTATGTAATGTACCTGTCTGTTATTGTCCTATTTTGCTTGGTCTTCTTTTTTGGCAAAGATTATTTCCTTGCGTTGTTTATTATTTTGTGTTTTATTTGTAGGCATGACTTTTGGATTTTATTTTTCCACCTAAAATCCAGGCACACTGACTCCACTGATTACACCATCTTTACAGACAGAAAGATTGAAGCAAATAGGCCAGACATAATTGCCAAAAACTGAAAAGAAAAAACTTGCATACCAATTGATATGGCTTGTCCAGTGAATTGTGACATAGCAACCAAGGAATTTGAAAAACTATCAAAGTATAATGACCTGGAAATCGAATTAGAAAATATGTTGAAATTGAAAACAAGAATAGTACCAGTCATAGTGGGTTGCATGGCAAATACCTAAAATGAACAAAAGAAGCAGATGTGGACTAACAGAAAACACATCAGTGGCTGAGGAGCACCAAGTTGAAAGCTGAAACAAAAGGCCTAATTATTGCAGCTCATGACCAAAGCCTTGCAACCAGATCCTATCACTGTCACATGATCAAGGATGGAAATAACCCAAAATGTAGGCTCTGCAGAAAATATGATGAAACTGTCAGCCATATTATCTCAGGATGTCCGGAACTAGCAAAAAATGAATATACCTACAGACATAACAAGGTATGTACACTGGATGATATGTAAGAAGCACAAGATCAAAACCACTGAGAGATGGTATGAGCACCAACTAGACACAGTTATCCAAAATAACAATGTAACTATCCTCTGGGACATGCCAATTCAAACTGACAGGGAAATAAAAGCCAACAGACCTGATATTATCATAAAAGATAAGAAATTCAGGAAGTGTATGCTTATTGGCATAGCAGTACCATCTGCGAGAAACACTTCCATGAAAATTATCAAGAAATTGTCCAAATACAAGGACTTGGAGATCAAGATTAACAGGATGTAAGGAATGAAGACTGAGACTGTACCAATAGTAATCGGAGCTCTGGGCCTTGTGAGAAAAAGCATGGACAATTTTACTAACAGTGTCCCAGGTAACATCAACATACAAGTTTTTCAGAAGATCACCCTACTAGGAACATTCTATATATTAAGAAAAGTGCTATCAATTAAATGACAATTCTCCTATAGGGCCTAAGGATCATAGTTTGGACCCAGCTCTGCAGGATACAAAGCAGGAAACATAACATACACAAACAATAATAATAACAATAATAATAACAATAATAACAATAAATACTTACTGATCTGTTTGTGAATACAGAGAAATCTTTTACCATTATTTGTTTGATCATTTCTGGGTCAGCAACTATGACTCCAGGATAGCGCCCCATATAAAAACTGAAAATAAAGGGAAAAGCAAACACATTATGTACAGTTAGGTTGATGCAAACATTTCCAGCATTATTTGTACCATTGCCACTAATGAAGAACTACAAATACATTGTAATTATCATGGATCCTTTCACTAAAGAACCCATAGCCATTTCAATTCCTAGCATCTCCACTGGAACTGTCACCAGATCAATACTGAACAACTGGATCACTCATTTTGTTGCATATTCTTACATTACAACAGAGTGGGGGTTAATATTTTAAGTCATCCCTTTTCTAGGAATTTACTAATTTGCTTGGAGTGAAACATATTAGTTAACAAAACTGGTTCAATGATAGCTGAACATTTACTAAACAACCATCAGTGTACTTATAACTAAGATATGTTCTAAGTACTATGGAAGTTTTCATTTGAAATCTATTTATATTAAGTCCTATCCACCATATCTCTATAAACAGAAGGAATAGTTGTTAGACTTAAATTAAATTAGCCTCTAATTATTATTTTATATTTTTTGCAATGATGTTCACCCTGTACAAGGCCCAAGAGCCGCTCGAGGTAGAGGGCTACAGAGTAAGAGGTACAGTTTGTATGGATGTGTTGGGGGAGATAACAGTTTACCCTAGACTTAAACAGGTTAAGACTGTAGTGATCAGGGAAGCATCCTCTAGGGAGTCAGTTCCACAAAGCAACAATTTGGAGAAAGAAGCTGCTGCAGTGAAACTTGTAATGGAATACAACAGAATGAGGGTGGTTTGCTACAATATGCATGACATGGTGGGTCTTAGCTGTGAAGATTAGAACTGGTGGAACTAATGTATGTAGTTCGTCTGAACACTTTGTTATATAATAAATATGTATACAACACCCGCCTTTGGTGTTTATTTTAGGCACTGTATGGTTCATTGTCCTCAATTGGTATCTGAGTAGAGAGAAGCAATAAACCAGTTAATTGCTTTTTTGATATTACCACTTTACAGTAACGTAAATTTTTTTGTTATCTCTTTTTCCTCTTATGTCCGTTTTTATCACTATTATCCATTTACTTAAGCTCATCAAGTACGCTATGCACTGTTTTCCTATGTCCCTCTTTCCCTCAATCTGTCCTGTGAGTATCCGATTTTCCAAGCCCTCCTTTCTCATTATGTGCCCCAGAAATTTCAACTGTCTATTCCTAATGTTAAATATAAGTTTCCTTTTAGTCTCTAAAACCTTGTTGTTGCTCATGTGTTTTGCTCATGGTATTCTCAGTATCCTTCTGTAGAACCACATTTCTGTTGTCTCAAGTCTCATTCACTACCATATAGGAGGACACAGATATCACGCAACAGTTCAGTGCTGTTTTCTTTGTTTCTAACAAAGTTAGAAAGTTTCTTAGTAAGCTCTAATATTCCTCCTCTAATGTTTGCACTTGAAACACCGGTTCCCATACAATCACCAAAGTTAAGCAGCATCAAGCCTGGTCAGTAACTAGATGGGTGACTACAAGGGAAGACCAGGTGCTGTAAGCTTGGATGTTCAAGTGGTGTAATGTATAAGAGCACAGAATTGTTAATTAGAGAGCTGAGTTCCAGTTCTCATTGTGTTCGTTATATTTACTTATGCACAAATACACTTGGGAAAGGTATGGCTCCACCTCTTCTCCTCCTAGCTATGGGTTAATTAGTAAGACTTGTATCCCTGAAACATTTATTATCTAAAAAAAAAAAAAAATGAAAATAAAATAGTATTTGAAATATTTAGACATCAGCATTACGTAACCCATACAAGTTGATAAGCCACTAAACAAAGACAATCAACAAAATCCTCCACATTTTCTTTCAACAAAATATTGTACAACATATTTCTTGTGATGTCTCTATGTTTCAATATAGAAATGTTATAAAAGTTTATATGGAAAAAAAATTAAATAAATAAAGGAAACTTTCTGCTCCTTTCCACTACCTAGAGTGAAGATATTTCCAATCAGTGAGATGTTAAGATGGGACTTTTTTGATAAGCCTTGATACTGAGCCTGAATGTGGTGGCACAATATCTAATTCAGGGTAATAAAAAAGAAATGTAATGTAAAAAAAGGCTTGAGGAAAGGACTCCTTCTCAAGATTATTTTTATATAATTAAAAGGATGGAATTTTTTAAAAAATAGCCTAGTGAGCCTAGTATAAGAGGCATAATCTAGTTTAATCACTTTTCAACATAATTCAGCTAGGACTGAGTACTCAGGGGGAAACGCGGTCAGCAGATTAATTAACCATCAGCAGTGAGTTGATAAAACAGGACACTTGATTTTAAGATAAGAAAACTGGGACGACACACAAAAATTTAAAACAGATAATTTTTTAACTTGTTTATGTGAAACAAGTATACTACTGGATTAAGTTTCCCTCAATAATAAGCGTTCTGTTATCATAGTATAGAAATTGTATTGTTTTACTTTCTCTTTGTCTCTTTTTTAGTTTAGTTACCTTCTAGATTGTCGTCGTTTTGACCACTACAGCATTACACCGAGCACGTGGTCGGTAGTTTCATCCTTCTAATCTCACCCTCAATGTTACCATCGCCGGCTTGTAACTTTTATTTCCTTTTCTCCCTATAGTTGCCTATTTTATTATCACGTCATTATTTGAACATTGATGTTATATAGTTATAGTTCATACGTTTATTATACGTTTGCATATCTTCGTATAGAATACTTTCAACACGTGTCCACTGTCCACACTGTTATAAAATAAAATAAGACATATCTCGGCTGATTTTCGTCACAAAATGACCATTATCGTCGTTTACGCATAGACCCGATGCACAAGTTCCGGATAAAAATAAAATAATATTTCAAAATGTTTCTATTTTCGATCAATAAAAATGATTCCCTCCTAATTATATCCGCGTCGTTTTTCGAGCCTGTTAAGCCATAAAAACGCCATAAAAGGGATCACACGGTGAAGTAAAAGGACAGTCGACAGGAGGCCAGGGAAGAGACCTGTCATGGTCAGTCAGCAGCAGTCAGAAGGAGGAGCGCCACACCAACCAGTGAGAACTACTATGAGAGATCAACCCAGATCGGGAGCCGGCTTATGAACTATACTACAAGGTAGCTGTCCCTAAACCACACGTTCCTATTGAAATAAATCACGTAAATCTATTTCTGTTGTTGTCGTATTTCTTTCTTGCAACCATACGCTTGTCTATAACAACACACACTGTTGCAAATGTAACCTTCTTTTCTGCGAACTCACCGCAACATTGAAATGTATTCCTATGTCAAACTTTATACATATTCATGTAAACAGAATATTCGCTACATTGCTTTACCCATTTAAACAGACGGTCTTAGTTTTAAGTTCAAGCCTCCGGCTGCTTTTGTCATATTTCTCGTTACCCTTGTTTATTTGTATTTTCAAACTAGTCTTATTTATATATATTTATTTACTTTTCTAGTTTTACCCTTTTGGTTATTAATAAACCTGCCGGTCTACGGGACTTCGTATAATTCAGAGTTTTAATTGCTTTAAGGCATTTTATTTGGCTATCTTCGAGATTACGCACGCGTACGACATGGACGCGTACTTCACGGGACAGAACAATATATCACTTCACTCACTTCAATTATAATTCTACAAGGCCATACCAACCCCTGAAAGTGTTCTATGAATTATAATTATTCTGCAAATCCTTCTGTTCAACAGACAGACACTTCTGCTGTGTTGAACTATCAACCCCTGAACAGCTACTACTATCAAGTCTTCACTTTCTTATGAAAAATTTTCTCTACAAAGCTTAATCTCCATATGTGCTTGAAAGAATATTTTAGAGCAAGCCTCTCCTCCCATTTTCGTTTTAAAATAAAATATCATTGTAGATAAACAATTTCTTCCTGCTTTAATTTATAGATTAAGCCTCTAATGCACCTAGCACTTTTGATTCTTCTGGATTTCTCTCCTAATTTTTTTTTTATCTATCGAGAATCTGGCATGCGGGTAAAACAAATTGAGAATTAAATTTATCTCTTCCTTGAGAATTTAAGCAAACAATTATCGTTAGCAGGATATAGATATATTTGGATAACGTTTTTTTTGCGGACGAAAACGGTTTGGGAAATAATTTTGTCTCTCGCTTGGAAATTTAAATAAGAAAAAACTTTTTTTTCTTGAGGATCAAATGTACGATAGGATGGAAGATATGAAAAATCCTGTCAACAGTGATCTAGTTTATATTTTTGCTGGACAGAGATAAATCTAGGAATTGAGAAATAATTTTATCTCTTCCTTGAGAATTTAGGCAAACAAATATCGTTGGCAGGAGAGAGAGAGAGAGAGAGAGAGAGAGAGAGAGAGAGAGAGAGAGATCTGGATTATGCTTTTACAGACGAAAACAAATTGGGAAATAATTTAGTCTCTTGTTCAGAAATTTAAATAAAGAATGGACCCTTTTTGAGAGTCGAAATTATGAAAACAGGTCCTGTCATTGACAAGAAGGTGATCTGATTTATATTTTCGCCAGACAGAAGGTAAGTCCAGGAGTTGAGAAATAATTTTATCTCTTCTTCGAGGAATCAAGAGAATTGAAAATGACTAGAATAAAATTAAATCCTTTTCACACACATGCTTTAAAAATTAGATTTGTCACAAAGACAGTTATGCCTGACCTGGAAAGTAGATTGAGGTTGAATGCCCAGGAGGAAGGAGGAAAGAGTGATAATTTAGCACCACCTGTATGCAGTGATGGCACGAGATGTAAAATGAAGAAAGTTGAAGGGATCCCTGCAACTACTCCCAAGAAGGTGGATAATTCTCCAAATTTGTAAGGTTGATTAGGAAATTAGAAATAGGGAACAAAGAACTCTTATTGGGATTAATATGAGGATTCGGGAATCATCGAATCTTCAGAACCCTTCGGCCTTCGGTTTTTTCAAAATCGAAGTGCATATAAGCAGATAGCTTTGAGAGCTTGAGAACTTGAACTGAGAATCCCGCATCAAGTGCCTCTGGAATCCACGTCAGCTGCA